CAATAAGCACTGATATCTACAAGGTATAACTTGTTCAACAGGGTGCAAATCCCACTGCTCTCCAGGCGTTAAATTGTATTAATGTTATGTGCTGTTCGTCTCTGGTTATCAATTTGTGATATGTGTTGAGGGCACGCGTGGGGGAAAATGGGGATATTTAAAATGAAATAACATTTAACAAATTATATGTTATAATACAACCAGGAAGGAATACATCTTATATCAGAAAAAATGGGTTGATTAAAGCAAATTAAGTAATTAAACATGAACCTTTCATTGAAATTTGAAATTAATTAAAAGTAATTTGCACAGATAAAATGATCGGGAAAACGCTATACTTATATTATTGAAACATTCTTGACGATTTTTTTAATTTTCGTGAACGGCATTTTGTGTACACATAATCTAATAGCATTTATTAATTAAGTTCCAATAAAATTATATGAGTCATGCTCACGTTTATACAGGCGGGATAGCCATTGTGTGTTCACACACACACACACACACACCACACGCACGCACGCACGCACGCACAAATACAATTTTGAATCAAAGCAATGTTCAGTTTCGATTCAAGTCTAGCGGGTACTGTATGCATCGCATATGCATTATATGCTGGGACATTAAATAATTCTTAATTTGACCATAGACAGTTATTTAAGTGCATCTACTAAATTCAAAGAAAATCATGATTTAATTAATGTATGTTAACAGTATACACATATAACACTACATCACTAACGTCAAGCTCACCCTGACAGAACAGGATTAAATTTGCCAATGATAATTTAATGCAGAGGCAAATTTGGCCTAAATTATATTACAAGTTATATTATAGCTGAACTGTATTACATGACAATAAAAGAAATGAAAAAGAATTTGCACAATTACCTGTTGCTGTGGTGAATGTTGTTGCTGTTCTTGCTGCTGCTGCTGTTGCTGCACAATTTGTTGCTGTAGTACCTGAAGCTGCTGCTCCCGCTGTTGCAACATTTGTTGGCGCTGCTGCTGTTGTTCTTGCTGCTGCTGTAGCTGCTGCTGTTGTTGCACTAGCTGCTGCTGAAATTGTTGCTGTTGTTGTTGCTGTTCTTTCAACTGATGTTGATGTTGCAGTAGCTCCTGCCAATGTTGCTGAAGCTGCTGTTGTTGCTCGTGCCATAGTTGACGTGCCTGCTGTTGTTGCTCCTGCTGCTGATCCAGCTGCTGTTGTCGCCATAGTCGCTGTTGTTGCTGTAGATGTTCTTGGATGTGTTGTTGGTGGTGTTGCTGCTGTTGTAGATGTTGTTGTACTCGCTGCAAATGTCCTGCTCTCCGTGTTAGATGTTGCCACTGCGTATATAGGCGGTTCTGCTGTTGTTGCTGCTGCTGCTGCTGCTGCTGGTGCTGCTGGTCTCCACGTTCTGGGAGTTCACCTTCTTCTCGTTGCTCCCGAATTTCACCTTCTTCTGCTTGTTCCTGTTCTTCATCCTTGTATTGAATTAATTATTGCGTATTAAAGTAGATTTTAAAAAGTAATCTTGAGCATCAAATGTTACTTATCATTTCATCTTTCATTCAAACTCTGCAGCTTATATTTAACAGGTATCTAGTAATTAGAGTTATTCGTAATAACTGGAAAACAGTGATGAAATTCAAACATAAACGAATAATTATCGTTCCCAAAATAATTTTTATAATATTTTTATGCTTAAGTACACTTAAACGAATACATTACTAGTTCTACATACCGTCGATTCCTCTAATCTTGGCTAAAAACAAAAATGATATTATTACGTCAATATAAATAACAAGCATATATATACTTCAGATGTTCATTGATGCTATACCATAACATAATTTAATAAACAATCTGCGCAATGTAACAGACCATTTATGTACCAAGTTTCATTGAAATGTGATCAGAACCAATAAATTATGAATTAAAATGCTAATTATATGCTAACAGATTTTAACCCAAAGCTAATCAGATTTCTACATTGTCCTAGAGCATCGTTTGTACTAAATCACATTAAAATGGAATAATTAGTACTTTAGATTTCAGTGTGAAAGTTGGTTAATTATTCAAACTAGGTGAGTAATATGAACAGATATCAACCCAAAATTAATCAAGTCTGTATATTGTCCTAGAGCATCCATGTAGAAAGTTTCATTGAAATGTTATGATGAGTACTTGAGATATCAGTGTGAAAGTTGAAAATTGATTAATTATAGAAATTAGGTGATTAAATGCATACATATATACCGAAAACTAATTGGCTCTCTGCATAGTTTAGATTCAATTAATGTGATGATTAGAACTCGAGGCATCAGTGGAAAAACTGAAATCTAATTATGCAAATTATGTGATTATTATGCACAAGTATTTATCCCAAAACAATCGATCTCTGCATAGTCCTTGAGTATCTATGTACCAAGAGTCATTGGAATGTAATGCTTACTACTTGAAATATCAAAAGCTGAAAATTAATTATGCAAATTAGGTGATTAATATGTACTAATATTACCCTAAAAACTATCAGGTTTGTGCATTGTCCTATTACATCTAGGTACCAAATCTCATTGAAATGTGATGATTAGTACTTGAGATATCAGTGGAAAAGCCGAAAATGTACTAATTATTATGCAAATCAGGTAATTAATATGTACACATTTTCACCTAAAATTATTCAAAATCTATGCATAAGTTCAGAGCATCTTTGTACCAAGTTTCTTCAAAAATCTAACGAGTGGTTCTTTAGTCATGGAACAGCTAACATGAGCTAATTATCAAATTAGGTAATTAATATGCATGGTTACTACAAAAACCTAATCAAGTCTGCATTGAGCCAGAATATCTATGCCCCAAATTTCATCAAAAACAGATGTATGGTTCTTGAGATATCAGTGGAACAGACTGACGGACACGAACACGGACACGGACACATACACACATACATACATACAGACAGACACACCAACTTGCAAAGACTGACTCCCATTGTGTGCTTCGCACACGGGAGTCATAAATGGTATGTGTGTAAGTATGAAAGGTCTAGCCAGCTCACATTTTTTAAACTCTAAAAAACAGTCAAACAGAATGAAAACTAAAAACTAAAAAATAATACCAGCTTGAAGAATATTTGTTGCTTTCAAATTTCGCCAAAGCCATGCTTAAGTTTTACCGATAAATGCAGAATAAATCAAGAAAACTACACAAATTGACTCCATTTATGAATAATTAACGGTTGCCCGTAAGCACGGCACAGTTGGAGGCGTGGCCTATTCAGAATGTGTCAACCAATCACAAGACTGGTTACGAACCAGTTGAGCGAGGCTTATAACCCAGTCTTAAACTCTGTGTTGTTCGTAACCAGTCTGGTGATTGGCTGATATAATTTATCTCAAGCTGTAATGTGCAAATGTGTTCTGATATAATTTAATTGTGCATGTCATTTTCCAATACAATGCCGATATGCAGAATATAACATGTTTGGTTTCACCATGATAGAGATATAGATATATACGAAGTTCTATACAATATATTTTTTCCCGAATTAAGATACGAGATAAATGTCGTAGAGATGAACACCATGCAATATTGGTATGGTGACCGGGCTATTAAGGTCAGTTCTAGGTAGATCACAGAACGGCTAAAGTATCTTTCAAGGAGATAAGACACGCACGTTTCCCGAAACATGTTAAATTTACACATCATAAGGCAAGTCTGAGCAAGAGAACACACTATCACGCCTACAAGTTTGTAATAACCCAAACGGAATTAATAGTAACATGAATATAGGGTGGCACTTACCCGTTTAGGTGTACTTGCATTTTCCCCTAATAAAATAACAGAAATGATTTTCAACTGACTTACATCACACAAAATGATTTTCAAGTACTGTACTCAAGAAAAAAATGTGTCCACTTGATCGTAAATTAAACTTGTACTAAAATACGAACACAAATTTCGAAATTTAAATGCATTACGATACAGTGTAATAACACTTTGTAATCATAATCATGAGCCTTGTCATTCCAATGATGATCATCATACCTTTCGATCAATTGTTAGATATTCACCATTTCAAGTACATAACATGCTTTATAGCACTAGTAAAAATAACTAAAGCCATTTGGAGTGTATATTGTCCCTTGTTTTGACTAATATCAACTAAATACCAACAAAGTAAAGTAATATGTTAATGATCCAAAGAATTGTTTCATTCCATAAAACTTACGCTATATTCTGGACAGTAAATATGCTCCAAATTATCCACTGTACGATTTTAAAACCTGATTGTAAACTTTTTGTTATAACTTTCTGCTGTCAACTATGGTGCTCCTTTCGGAAGTCGAACCTTAATGCTTTGCGTGTATTTTATAATAACTTGTTTCGCCGTTTTTTGTTTCATTACTCGTGTGATTAGTGTAAATCATATGTTTGTATACAATCATGTCAAGTCTTTTTACGAATTTTTTTAGAAATCTGTATTTAAATTTAGAGAGCGTATATACACCTCTGATAACAGTCTTTTGTGAGCTTATGTAACTCTGATGTCCGTTGGCAGTCTGCCTTGGAATAATATTTTGTACTATTAAATGTTGCCATACACACACTGACCTATATACATATACATTTTGTTCATTTACTTGTTTATTTGTCATACTAGTTTTATATGGACTTTCAAATCCTTGACAGTCTGAAATAAAGAAAAATAATATTACTCACCTTCGTCGTTGTGTTGACGCTTTCGACCTGAAACAAAACAAAGTAATTATCAAAGGTATGTTGGAGAAACTAAAGTTTTACACGATGCATTTAGCTGTTAAACAGATCCGAGATTTGTACCAATAAATCACGAATAGCAGCATTATATTTACTAATTGTCTGATACAGTTGAAATAGTTTTCAGCCAAGGTCGCTAGTACTAAGTTTTAATCAAATGTTTGTAGTTACTTTACAAACAAAGAAAATATTATTACAAACTATATTACACTATATTACAAGTCTATACTTCAATCTATACATATACTAATTTATATATGCTACACAGTCATTTTGCTTAACTTCAAACTTATACATCAGCCGTATATTGCTGCTCAATTTCGGGCCACACGATGACTGCTGCTTGCTCAAAGAAAACATTGTGCAGTCAACCAGTTTCCACCGTCAATGTCAGACCCCAATTGTATACACAAGTAACTGTCGATGTAACTTCCAAATTGTATACACATCACACTACTGATAACATTATCCCCACTTGCATACTCTTATCATAACCGCTGGTCACCACTTATATACTTTATTTATATTTCGTATCATTTAAACTATACAATTATATAAACTTTACATTGTTCGAAATGTTTCTCCAAGTTAAATATTACGGAGTTTTCACTACATAATGTGAGTACAGGTGTTCTGCGTCATATCCCAAATGTGATGCATCCCATCAAAATAAACCCCAAGTATACCACATCTTGGGGTTTATCATCATCACTTTAAATGCCCACAAACGTACCTATTTCGCCTTCTTCTAAATCTGATACTATTTCACCCTCTTCTGATTCAGAAAATTCAGTTTCCTGGTATAGAAATAATCAGAACAGATTGTTATCAAGGCCGAATAATAGGTGTACGTGTACACCTTTCACTGCATGTTTCTTCATCTTCCATGTCATCTGATCATGTGGCACTTCCCCTGCACCTTCGAATTCCCTCACTGCAAATTCCATTTCACAGATATCTGATAATTAGCTGCATAACAGCGATACTGATAATTAACAAAATAACATTCGATCATAAGCCAATGAGATACAACTTCCTTAAATAAATGTTATTTAACTTAGACATGGATGTGTAGGCATTGTCTTCACACACATGACAGTAATGTAACGTATTACATACCTTGGCTTCTTCCAGCCTTGGCTGAAAAAAAAACGCGTATATTGAATTAATATGGTAGTAAATAAATATAAACACACATTTGAATATATGCCATGCCAATACCTTTAAAGGAAAGGTCAAGGCTAACAATACTCCCAGATAAAAGCTCTGTAAATGCAAGATCATGCAATTTACAGTTTTCTATATCACTTTTCATTCTCTAGATATTAAACTTTTCATCAATTTGTGTAGTTCGTTATCTTGATTCTTCAGCAAAGGATTATGGGTAAAGTATGACAGAATCTGTTGTCAGAAATTGAGAAAATGATTCATCTACAACTTCAAAAGCATACATGTACTGGCGCCAAACATGCTTATAAAATAGTTGTCATGGAAACAGAACTGAAAATATTTACTTTTGTGTTTTTTTTACAAAATGCTCAAATTTCCTTATATTGTATATAGGTTATATATTGTAGTAGGTTATATAGGAGATATATTACCTATTGGCCACAGAAAGGGGACAAAATCTTGTCATTCTATATTACACGACTAAAATAACGATTTTTATTTATGTGTGTTTGTAACATTCTAATTTCTATTACTATAATTATATGCACGAGTAATATGCACAACGAAAATTTGAACTAATTCGCATCAGTATTTCTCATGTTGTATATGAAATCCTTCTCAATGAACAGATTCTATGATGTCATACTTTACCCAAAATCCTTTGTTTGAATTCTCCTGCATTTTTAGAGCTTTTTCTTGAGGGGTCATGTTGTTTGGCACGGCTTTTCCTTTAAGAACATAATAAACGACACTGATGCTAAGCAAAGTCCACATCAAGCGTCAAATTAAATATGTCACCTAGGATTTAATGTTTTATTGTGAAGAAATACTATGTTTGATTTGTTCCATTTACCTAATGTACATTATAAAAAATATTAATAACAAGAAGAACCGTTTGTTAAAGGTGTTGAACGCATTCGACAGTGATGATTAAAAGCAACTACATTGACAAATCAGTCGGTACGTAGCCTTAGGCATATGCACGATTTCATTCCTTGACACAATCGTATAGACTAACACAAGAGTATCAATTTTCACCAAAATCAGATTTTAAAACAAAAATTTTTGTCTTACTGCCATCTTTTATCGGATCGTATAATGTATGCATGGTCCAGGCATGTCTAAATTCATAATATTATAATGTGATATTTCCCATAGTTGGCGTTTCATTACTACCAACTAGTATACTACACTAAAGTGCTTTACATCATAACTTAATACATCATAATCAATCATATTTAACTCATTATGCAAATAGCATTGTCAGTCCATACATTCTGCTTATAATGGTGTACATAAACTTAGTGCTAAACACGGGCAATGACTTGTAACACATTATCAGATTCAAAATTAAAACGTAGGATGAATATAAGCACTGAACACGTACTTGATATGCAAGAGCTGTAGGTGAAGCTGAAAGTAAAGAAAAATAGGTTAACTTATGTATCACAATATTACACAGCCTGAATTAACCCCTTTAACACCAGATCGACATTCATCATTTCCCTAAAAAACTAGCTCCTTTTGCGCCACAATTCTGCATTGTATTCAATTGAAGGTAATGTTTTCTTATAAAGCAAATATAGAGAGTCAGTAAGAAGAACATGTTTAAAACTAGTTTCTTTTTTTCATGGAAATGCCAAACGTTTAATTAAAAATTAGAGTATGTATTTAGACATCGGATTGAAGATCCGTATTACCCACTCATACAATTATTTCGGCTCAAAAGGTTACAGAATCGAAAATGAAGAGACAACTCAATAAGTCAAATGTTAAAAGGAAACCACTACGGTTTGCAACAGGAAAGATTAGATGGATGTGCGCTGAGAATGGGATAGTATATAGGACCAGGAGCAATACGTCCCCTGGCAAGTGGGCAGAATATATTCAAATTTGCACGTCTGAACGTTTAGTCAACCATGGTAGACAAATCCACATTCATTCTGATGATGGGTGGATACGCTAACCATTTCCCACTCATCAAGTATATAAATGCGGGAATGAAATATTCGATCAAAATGCAAAACAAATTGATGTGACTAGGTATAATTTTAAGTATTGTATCTGTACTACTGTGTATCAACAAAATAGGCCAAGGCCAAAGGAAAACTCAAGACACCCACTAAAAATAACTGATACGTGATATACATCAGTTAACCAATAATGAGTAATGTTAATGCCAAGTTCGATTGAAACCAATCCAGGTATTCCTGAAAAACTTTCGATATTTTCAATTGTTGATTTTCACATTTTTGTGGACTAAAATGAACCTTGATCGACCATTTTCAATTCAATCACAAACAAGCTATGTATGACACAGTTCCTGTTAGTTATCATTATGATTGACACTTGTATCTGATCGTCAAACAAGTACTTGTCCATATTGAGAGATATTGCTCTGGAACAGATTTCAAAATCAGACATTTTGAATACATGTATATATATAACATGATGTATAACGAATATATAAAATTTGAATATAATCAGTCAAAACATTTAAGAGATATGGCTCTAGAAGCCCAATCATTAAAATGAAATGGCCACCAGTCAGCCATTTTGAATCTGATCTGAAAAATAAAATGATGTGCATCAGGAACCCGTAATTTCTAATGTATGTACTAAGTTTGAACGAAATCCATCCATAAATGCCAGAAACGCTTGATATTTGATGATTTATTAGCATACAAAATGGCCACCATTTGGCCATTTTTAATGGGATCGTCAAACCAATATACTGTACATCTATGACATTATGTATAATGGATATTAAAAATTTGAACATAATCAGTAAAAGCAAGTCAGACATATGGCACGAGAACCACATTCCTTAAAACAAAATGGCCACCAGTCGGCCATTTTGAATCTAATCTGAAAAACAAAATTATTTGCAGCACGGTCCCATAATTTCTAATGTATATACCAAGTTTGAGCAAAATCCATCTGTAAACAGCCGAGAAATGCTTGATTTTTATGATTTTTTAGCACAAAAATGGCCGCCAATTCGGCCATCTTGAATCAGATTGTGAAACAAATTGACGTGCATATGTATAATATCATGTATGTTTAATGTTTGATTGTGATTGGTCCAGGCATTTCTAAGATACAGGTACGTCCGTCCGTCCGTCCGTCCGTCCGGACGGACGGACGGACGCACGCACGGAGGTCAAAACACAAGTCCCCGTTTTCGGACTACGTCCGAATGGGGACTAAAAAGTGCCATAGAGACTAATTTAGCCATCATACGATACGTTCACGTCTGAAAAAAATCGGTACAGCCATCCCTGATAAACCCGTGATTGTGTACGTGTGTGCGCGTGTGTGCGTGCGTGCGTACGTGTTTTGTTAGACAATACTTGTGCATATGCCTCTTATGACATTTGTACCAACTTCGAACAAACTCGGTCAAAGCACACTATGCTCTGAATGTTCTTGTTTGGTTCTAGTTCGTAGAGTAGAAATAAAACCTCAGTCTGGCCAGTAATATGCTCCAAATAACCCCATGTAGTAGGTTTGGCTCTATACTCACTACATACATGGTGGTAACACTTTCTATTTCCATTCCTGAATACGGAATATCACATTGTAGCAGTGTTTTGTGTGTTTGTATGTTGTCTTGTATTTAATGTCAGTGTTCAATGGAACCCTTGTAATTGCCCCAGGAACATGAACATGCGTTTCAATAACATGGTATAATCACAATATATTGCTCACCTCCAAATGGAACCCCTGTAAATATCTTGGGCATCCTATACTGGTAAAAGGCTTGCTTTTCTGCACCTCGATCTGTGAATAAACTGAGATTATCAAAATCTTGCCTATATATGAAATTCAGATTTACAACTATGCATCTAATGTAAAACTGATTTGTAGCTTGTAACGTATCACGAAATCATGGATAGCAAACTAGCACATTAAGCTATTGTATGAATGCACGATTTCAGGTAAGAATTGAGTATTGGTCCGCTGATACTGTAAAATTGTTATTGGTCAATTACAACAAAATGAGTCACTTTGTAAACAAGGACGTAACTAGTTAACAGATGGTACATGACTGAAACCTAAAATAAGATTCATGGCGTTGAGGTACTGTTGAATATAATCTATCTATATAGATAGATAGATAGATAGATAGATAGATAGATAGATAGATGGATGGATGGATGGATGGATGGATAGATAGATAGATACTAACACACGGGCACATGCTCATTTCACTTATCCTGTTTTTATTGAGCTTATCTTTCCCCAATCGCCCATTTTCTGACAGGACGCTCTTCGAATGCGCCAAAAACAAACATCAAATGCATCTCAAATGCACTAAATATGTATTTTACCCTAAATATATACAAAATACATTTCATATTAATGGGCGGTAGTCGTCGCGCAGCGCGTGTTCGAATTTCATGTAAATAGACAATGTATTTTACACGCGTTGTGTACGTCGCTATGAGTTCCATAATCAAACATACAGTACGCGGCGCGACAACCACCGTCCTTTAATCTGAAACGGATCCGATTCACATCCCCAATTGTACTAACAATACCTCCTAACACACCAAAAAACACACACCCTAAATGCGGTCAGAAAATGTCCAAACCTGCACTAAAAATAAAACACTACAATTATAGTTCCTGGTACCTGGGGTATCAGTTTGGGTGCGCGAGTGATGACAACATTACATGAATTGACTAAGGTACCACTGCAAAATATTTGATGACATGTTATTTTACGAGACAAAAACATCAGCCGTTAATAGTAAACTAAAATGATGCTTACCTGGTAGCGGTCTTGGTTGACTGGTTTCCCTTCCCTGGGCCCCAGCTCCCGACCCTGTGGACGGTCCCGCGCCCCCCTCCCGGTCTGGTCCCAACGAACCCCCATCCCTATCCCTCCCCCGCCCCGAATTTGGCTCAAACCTACTACCACCCGCACCACTATCAACCTCCCCCCTTCCCTCATCCGACCCCCTCCCCTCATGATCACTCCTAACCCCGATATCACTGTCACTACTAGAACTTGTATCACTATCCTGAAAAAAAGAAGAAAATACACGAGTATTAGTTATTTATAACTTCAATGTACAAATATGAATTTCGTGTCACATGTGCAGCACAGTGTGGTCGTATTTTAATAACTCGGGCTACCTATGGCTGGCTTTGCCATTTCGAATACATTTTATGAAGAAATCCATTTTATGAAGTGAATTTTATTGCTCACAACTACTCTGCATAATTTGACTGTATGTGGGTTTTCAAAGGAGCCAAAGTTTTTCAAATATCAAATCCAGCTCGGACTACTGAAAAAAAATGTTTTTATGTTTTTTTTTAATGGCTGATATTGAGTCATCTTTCATTGACCGTAAAAACATGCTCGTAAAATTATTAGTAACAATTGTTTGAAGTTGAATGTTTAACTAATTTGAACAAATTATGACATAGGATGTCATAAACGAATAACCGCTAAATTGGTAATTTTGAATCAAGGTCATCAAGGCGTAAATAATGTATACTATATTGTTTTAACTATTTACCAAGTAAACAAAATCTGTCAGGTACATCAAAAAAGTGGGTAACAAACAAATACAAATACAACACGAGCTTCATTTTGAATCAGATCATGAAACAGTGACATGTAAAGTTTGCAATCTATTTACCACTATTGAGCAGTTTCAAATCAAATAGCCAATATGATGTCATTAATGTAGACATGCCCACAAATCTGATGATATGCTCAAATGTCAATTTGTACTGTTTTTTGTAACTATCGGTCAAAATTCAAAAACAGAAATCTGCCCAGTCATGCCAATAGCATATGGCCAAGTGATTTTGTTTAAAATCACTGTTGCATCATTATTGGTACATAACACAGGGTATCATTTTTACTACAAGAATTAACCTTGCATGTTCAGGTATACTTATTTTATTGAGCCTTCGCCAATGCGTTTGAGGGACTCCGTTGGCGAGGGCGCAATAACTATCGCCAACCATGGCAGGGTAGAAGTGGCATTGAACTATCAAAATTCATGAAGTGTCAATAACAAATTTAAATGTTGGTTTTACATATTTTTATTTTATTTATTTATATATATATATATATCTGTTTAATTTATTTAAAAGATTCCTCTCATTAGTAAATAGCGCCCTCACTCAACATTATTTAAAATGAGTGGTTGGTCAAAAGTTTGATGAGTCAGGTGCATCTATTGGCTAAGCTTGTTGTACATAGATGCAAATGAGTATAGGAAC